GACCAAAGACCAGGACCTTATCTTAGACATTGTAAAGAAGATTAAGGATCCCGCATTACAAAAAGAATACCTAGATAGACTCTTAAAGTCCGTAGAAGACAAACCTTGTGTCAAACCAAAACCTTCTATCTTGCATTCTACTAGTACTAGCACGTATGACCTTACCGCTATCCTAGGTAGGAAGAAGAAAACCCGGAAATCCTTGACTATAATTCAGGACCTTCGATCCAAAATTAAAGTCATCAAAACCGAGCTTAAAGAGCTTAAGGAAAGACAAACCGGAGACTCCAGCCTCTTACAAACTCGCTTGGAAAACAGGCGGAAGACGAGTCGACTCGACTCGAAAACCCCGAAAACCAAGAATTGCCAAAACTCGAAAACCTAGAACACGTTCCGGAAGATTTTCTATTTGTACTTTGTGAAGTTACTTCTAGGAAGTATTTAATTAAGGTTACTCTTGTGTTTTAAAATGATTTCAAATTTGATACGATTGCCTTGTTTGATACCGGTGCTCGATTTGAATTGTATTAAACAAAGTATTGTTCCAAAACATTTCCATGTTCAAACCAATAAACGTCTTTCTGCAACGAAACAATTTCAAAATGACCATATTTGGTAAGACAAAAGCCTCCGTGGTCAATGGAATTACTAGGATCAAAAATCATTTTCTATTAGTTGAAAATATGCATCATATGGTAATCTTAGGAACACCTTTCATTAATTTGATTACTCCATATTCCGTAAAAAATGATTACATCTCATTCAAAAATAGAAATACAAAACTTGTTTTTCTATTTCTTGAAAAACCTAAAACTAGGAATCTAAACATCATCAAAGCATGTTCTATTTTTAATCTCTTTGATTTGAATGCTCGATTGCTAGTCGGCATCATTTTCCGCATATCCCTTCTACAAAACTCATAGGACCTTCCAAAATTAATCATTACTGATTGGACGTTTTTATGACCAAAACAAGAATTATGACCAAGAGGAAGCCATTGATTTCAACCAACTGCACTGTCTTTGAGGAAGATATCTTGGAAGATATCATGGACATAGTTGGTCTAGATACCGATCAAATAGAGGATTATTTAACAGCTAGAGCCTTAGATAGATCTCCTTAAACCCTCGAAGAATATGCAATTGATTCTATCGAGGATTTCCTAGAAGATCAAAAAGAAAAAGAACTCAATGATATCGTTGATGCTCTTTATGAACTAAATCTTTTAGAAGAAGTCCTTGAAAATGAAATCCAAAATGGCCGAGTCAAAACCAAAGATTTACCTCTATTCCTTGAATTAGCAACCATAGTTTCAACCGATCCCGAGCAATATGACCGACTAGTTACCTCTTAAACCTATACCCCGCATTTGCATATGCATTCACATCCGTCTTATTATATCAAAACCTTCTTCGTATTATTTAAATCTATCAATGAATTTTACTACTTTAAAATTATCCTTAATACATTCGAGTTTTATAAATTGGGAACAAAATTACATTCTAGAAATTTTGATTGGAGAATTCTCGCAAAACAGTCTTGATGGCTAAGAAAAACAAAGGAAAAAACCCCTTATATCGAAAGCCCGAAACCTTTATCATCGAGAAAACCCATTATCTCTTGGCGGATGCTCGTTGAAAAATAAGAAACAGAACACCCTCGTCAAAGCCCAATCCGTTGAGCATTGGGTCCAAAATCTAACAAAACAGACGAGCTCCTTCGGCCCCGTAAAAAATATCAAGTATGACTCTCGACCCAATTTCAAAACCGGAGAAAGGTTCTTCTTCCTCGAAACCCCTCTTTCTCAAAAATCAAATGATTCTTCCAAAATCATTTCACAAAATGTTTCTTCACAAAGCACTCGGATTATTGTTTCACCAAAACCTACTTTTAAAAAATATGAATCTAAGTATTTTCTAAAAAGAGATTTCTAAAACATTTTAAGCTGTCGAAGATGGGTACTTCTTTGAAGAACCTTACAAAATTATTCAAAAATTCTTCCCTCCTAGATGGTACTTCAAACCTTGGGACTTATCCAAAAACCAAGCCTACTATATGGCCATCCTTGAACAAACAAAATTGGCAAGTTTCAAACACTTCCTCGCCCCCGACAAAACGAAAACTGCCTATTCCACTTGTCAAATCCATAAAATAGCCCATCCTTCCGATCGGGGACAAGACCTTTCACTCCAAATTTTCTTCCCGACAAATTACAAACCTAGTGTAAACCATTGTCGTTCCTTCAATTACTTGGACTATCGGCAGGCATGGTTTAATACTATTTTCCTCCAAAATCATAAGGGAAGTCATCCATGGCTTTTCTTCTTTCACAAAAAATTTATCTCTACAAAAACTCCCATATGGTTCTTCATCCATTGGTGGAACTATTTCGGTCCTTTACCGGATATACTTTCCCGGATGTTTCGAGAGTTTTAAAATTTTCAAAACAAATTTCAAACCTTCGAAAAAGAAAAAAGATTCATGCCTCTTTTCCTTTTCCGCATAAAATTCTTCCTTCCTCGGGTTTGTTCCCGGTTCTATGAAACACAATATAAAGACTAGGCTTTAATCCTCATCCGAAGGTTCAAAGTAAAATGGTGGGATTCATTCTAGGTTTCATCATCTTTATCCAAAACAGGTGTTAAAGAATGGCTTATAAAACAAGGCTTACTCAAACCAAGCTCTTCTTTCACAAGTTTCCTTGCACAAGAATCGTTTTTAATGCCGGACTTGCAGCGCCAAAACCGAAGAAGAATACTTTGCCATCATGTCCGAGATGGTACAAAACAGTCAAGTTCTTCTCAAACAACAGAAATTAGATTCGACTCGAACCCGTGATAGAATTGGATAATGACAATGAAGATGACTGTTTTGGAATCTTTTCCCAAGTTCACCACCTCGTGAACTCCAAAACGAAATTGCACCTTCCGAGCAATTTCTTATCTATCGACAAAATCATCACAAAACTATCACTATTCATCCCACATGACATGCCAAGACAAAATTGCTTTCGGTGTCTTACTCGTTCATCAACACGTGAAGACATTGTAGCACTTTTTTACTATACATTTTTACTATTCAAAGTTATTGTTCATGGTTACCATTCATGTTAGCTTTCTCTAGATAAAGGAAGCTCATTTTCTTTTGTAGAAGAGCTTTTTTTAGCAAGTTTTCGGACATTCTCTAGGATAGGATTCTCTTTGTAATTCGTTCCTTTAAGATTCGGAAACTCAAAACCTCGAAAGCATTTTGCTTCGCGTATCCATTGTAAGTTATTTTATTCTCAATAAAATTTCTTACATATTTATCTTATTTATCTGTTAGTGGTCGGCTCTGCCGCCTATTTATCTTTACTTTTATTTTATGTTTTTGCATTAAATTAGTTTCAATTTATTTTGGTTTTGTCATCTCGCATCTCCGTGCTCGGCTCGTCGCCCAATTTTCAATCTGCATTTCATTGTTTTCATTTCATACTCGTACCATTCATTAGATCCTTGGGATTATTTATATATATATATATATATATATATATATATATATATATATATATATATATGTTAAAAAATTCATAAGTTTTATTTGATTATATATATATATATAATCAAATAAAACTTATGAATTTTTTAACTAATTATTTTAAAAAAATAGAGCGGAATTATTTTTTAATTGATTATCATTTTTTTAAAAAAATTAAGTCAAATTATTAAAAAAATACACTTTTAGCTCTCTCTCCCACTCATCGAATATATATATATATATATTACTTAGTAGACTCGCAGTATATGAAATAAATAAAAAATATAAAAAAAAAACTCACTTAAATTGCATGGAATATATCGGAGTGAATAGATTTAAATAAAAACTACTCTAAAATTGGTTTTGATAAATTCTAATTATATATATATATATATATAGTCAAATAAAACCGATGAATTTTTTAATTAATTATCAATTTTTTTCTTTAGAAAAGGAAAAAAAAAAGGAGGCCAACTCGTTAAAAGGAAAAAAAATGGTACTGCTACGATAAATGACAATTGACCCTTTAAAAAAAAAAAAAAGAAGGAGGCCAGCCCTTCAAAAAAAGAAGGAAAAAAGGAGGCTAGCCCAGAGAGCCCTTTAAAAAAAGAAAAGAAAAAAAGAAAAGGCAAAGCAACTAATTAATTCATCTCTTAAAGAAAGAAGGACCAAAAAGTAATAAAAATTTGATAAATGAGTATAATGAGTTTAGAGCTACAGTAAATTGTTACATTTGCACTTCTTTTAGTTTTTTTTTATAATAATAATATTTATGTTTGTCTTCAATCCTTGGTGCCAAATGAGACTTACTTTGAAATAACCTCGTAAGGGATGACTTTACCTAGTAAATTAGCTTGCATGAACCCTCCTTAGCTCATATCCTTCTTTCCTCTGGTTTTTCTCCTCCCATTAAAAGCAGTGTCAAGGCTCCAATTCTCTCACACTGCTCTAAAGTGCGTCAAGTCTTCCACTATGTAAGGTGTTAAAAAAAAAAAAAAAAATAGGCTTGTTTTGATTTGAGGTTTTTCTATGGTGTTGTTTTCTTCAAATGTTGAGTGTCATTTTCAACATACTAGCGATTATTATTAACATTTAAATAGGCAGAGATTTATGTGTTTGCATGGCGTGGGAAAGGACATTATTGTTTTGTGAATGAGAAGGACCAAAAACAATTGGTTGTTGTTTGTAAGAGCTTGACCATGTCATTTTCATTGTAGTTCGGTAAACAACAGCTAATTCGCCTTGGAAGAGAATCTCAAGGGATCAGATCAAAGGTTATCCTTTGTTGTTCATTCAGACAGAAAAATTTTAGCAATGCGGGCCAAGGTTTGGATCGGGACATATACTACTTCACCATTATTGTTCTGGACCAAGACTGAAAAAGCTCCAGGTAGACAATGGTTAGTAGCAAAAGCCCTCTATAAATAGGAGATCATCTTGCGTAAAAGAGTTCAAACCTGAACAACAAGCTCAAAACCTCCCAAATGCCAAAAATAAACCCCATTTTTCTTTTTATTCACTTCCTTCCCCTCTTGCTTTTCCTTCTCAGCCATGCAACCTCCCAACTTCATGATCAGGAACAAGCCATTCTACTAAGACTGAAACAACACTGGCAAAATCCATCGTCTCTCGACCCCTGGACCCCATCAAATTCCTCTCATTGCACTTGGCCTGGAGTTGCCTGCACCAATAACTCTATCACTCATCTCCTCCTTGATAACAAGAACATCTCTGGAACAATCCCACCCTTTCTTTCCGACCTTAAGAATCTCACGATTCTTAACTTTTCCAATAACAACGTGATTGGAAAGTTCCCTACGGCTGTCTACAACTTGTCCAAGTTGGAGATCTTAGACCTCTCTCAAAACTTTTTTGTTGGCGCTATTCCTGATGACATTGACTGCTTGGCTCGCCTCTCTTACCTTAACCTTTATGCAAACAACTTATCTTGTAATATTCCAGCATCCATTGGGCGGTTACCAAAGCTAAGTACTCTTCAGCTTCATGACAATCAATTTAATGGCACTTTCCCGCCAGAAATAGGCAACCTGTCCAATCTTGAAGAGTTATCTATGGCTCACAATGGCTTTTTGCCGTCAAGATTGCATACCAATTTCACCCAGCTGAAGAAACTGAAGAAATTGTGGATTTCTGGAGCGAATTTGATTGGTGAGATTCCGCAAATGATTGGACAAATGGTGGCTTTGGAGCACTTGGATTTATCTTCTAATGAACTAACTGGGAACATCCCTGGCAGTTTGTTCATGTTGATGAATTTGAGAGTTCTGTACCTTTACAAGAACAGATTATCGGGGGGAATACCTCAGGTTGTTGAAGCTTTGAACTTGTCAGTCATCGATCTTTCAGAGAACAATTTGACTGGGACACTACCTGCTAATTTTGGGAAGCTTGACAAATTATCATTTTTGAGTTTGTACTTCAATCAGTTGTCTGGTGGAATCCCAGAAAGCATTGGTCGTCTTCCAGAATTAAATGACCTGCGCTTGTTCAGCAACAATCTATCTGGCGCACTCCCTCCAGATCTTGGGCAATACTCAACTCTTGAAAGCTTCCAGGTAGCATCCAATGGTCTTACGGGAAAGCTGCCTGAATATTTATGCCATGGAGGCAAGTTGAAAGGAGTGGTAGCTTTTGATAATAAGCTGAGCGGAGAGTTGCCAAAATCACTTGAGAATTGCAGTAGTTTGCTGACAGTTAAAATTTCAAATAATTCATTTTTTGGCAACATTCCTGTTGGTTTATGGACAGCTTTTAACTTGCAACTACTGATGATAAATGATAATTGGTTCACTGGGGAGCTTCCTTACGAAGTGTCAAGTAATCTTTCGCTGCTCCGGATAAGTAACAACAGGTTTTCTGGTAAAATTCCCATCGCAGGGAATTCTTGGAGTAAGCTGGAGGTTTTTGAAGCCAGCAATAACCTATTTACTGGCACTATCCCTCAAGAATTAACCGCTCTTCCTAATTTGACGGTTCTTCTTCTTGATAAGAACCATCTCACTGGAGCACTTCCATTAGACATCATCTCATGGAAGTCACTAAATACTCTAAACCTCAGTCAAAATCAACTTTCTGGACGCATTCCAGAGAACATTGGTTTCCTACCTGGCCTTGTCAAACTGGATTTATCAGATAATCAATTTTCTGGTAAAATTCCACCACAACTTGGCTTGCTGAGGCTTACTTTTCTCAATCTCTCTTCCAATCATCTAACGGGGCAAATCCCCACTGAGTATGAAATTTCTGCTTATGCCAATAGCTTCTTGAACAATCCTGATCTTTGTGCTAGCAGCTCATCCCTATACCTTAAGGTTTGCAATTCCAGACCCCAAAAATCAGGCGACGCCTCAAACCAATTCCTGGCCTTGATATTAAGTACTTTGATGACGGCCTTTCTGTTTGCTTTGTTACTTTCATTCATCATGAGCAAAGTTCACTGGAAGAGAAACGATAGATTGGATTCAGAATGGAAGTTCATCAAATTCCATAAGTTGAATTTTACGGAATCAAACATATTGTCGGGATTGACAGAAAGCAACCTGATAGGAAGTGGTGGATCTGGAAAAGTGTATCGTGTAGCTGCAAATGGCTCCAGTGTTGTTGCTGTGAAAAGAATCAGGAATAACAGAAATTTAGACCAGAAGCTTGAAAAGGAGTTCCTAGCAGAAATTGAAATACTGGGTACAATAAGGCATTTGAACATAGTGAAGTTGCTTTGTTGTATTTCCAGTGAGAACTCGAAACTTCTGGTGTACGAGTATCTAGAGAATCATAGTCTCGATCAATGGCTGCATACAGAAAAAAACTCAAAAAGTTCATCAGCTTCAGCTGATCATGTTATTTTGGACTGGCCCAAGAGGCTGCAGATTGCAGTGGGAGCTGCCCAGGGTCTGTGCTACATGCACCATGACTGCTCTCCTCCGATAGTACACCGAGATGTCAAGTCAAGCAATATCTTGTTGGATTCAGAGTTCAACGCAAAAATTGCTGATTTTGGTTTAGCAAAGATGTTAATCAAGCAAGGTGAACTTGCTACTGTATCAGCGGTGGCTGGTTCTCTGGGTTATATAGCTCCAGGTAATAATCGATCCCTTTTCATATTGTGCAAATCTTTGTGCATGCATTGGTTTCCTTTCCTTCCTTTTCCACTACCAAAGATTTTATTTAAATTGGTTTTATTTTGTAACTTGAATTGCAGAGTACGCTCAAACAGTAAGAGTGAATGAGAAGAGTGATGTATATAGCTTTGGAGTTGTCCTTCTAGAACTAACGACAGGAAAAGCAGCCAACCATGGTGATGAGGATACATGCCTTGCCAAATGGACATGGCGTCACATGCAAGAAGGAAAACCTATAGTCGATGCCTTCGATGAGCAGATAAAGGAACCTTGTTATTTGGAAGAGATGAGCAATGTTTTCACACTGGGTGTTATTTGTACCAGTATATCGCCTTCTGAAAGGCCGAATATGAAGGAGGTTTTGCAAATCTTGCTTGGAATGAGCCGCCGATCGGTCCATGGAGTGAAGAATACGGGACATGAGTATGCTTCCACTCCTTTGCTTAAGAACTCAAAACGCGAGAGGTTGTACGAGAGTGACGCCAGTTTGGCATCCAATGTCTAATCACTCTGTTGTCGCATGCATGCAACCAGAGATCAGCATTAGAGTGACCATGTTTCCTAGAAGAATAATATCAACTCTGGTGGAGTTCAGAATGTAAAATATCCGCAGTTATATATGCACATAATAAACTACTATAAGAATAATATCCTGTAAATCTCTAGAGAAAGGAAGTCAGCACCTTTAATGCTTCGCCTTGTATCAGTATATGTTTTTATGTTTTTTTCAGTCCAGCGTCCAATGAAAGGATGCATGACATTCTATCCTGAGTGATAATATCTATATCTAGTTTACTACGGCACAAAAGGGCACGGCTAGTTAGTCAAGGTTTCGATCTGACAACGACAAGCATAGATTTAGGCGTTCCACTTTCATATAAAAAAACACACTTCTAGCCTAGGTTTCTCCTACAGAACATATCTGGCTGGCAATATTGTCTCCCATTCAATCTAACCTACCGCACTGGAAATCACCACTGTACAACTTGCTGCTGCAAATAAATATATATTCATAAATTTCCACCTGCTTAGGATTGGATTTAACAATTGTTTTACATCCTCCACCTATTGTGTAATTCGAGTGAATGGCAAAAGGAAGCAAAAAGAGGAGCAGAGTGACAGAATGATGGCAGTAAACTTTTAACTATTGGTTCAAAAACATGCAATTGGCTCCTGACATTTTATCTTTGTGTTTTGATTAGTTTCTCCGTTGCTAATTTTCATAAAATCAAAATTCTTAGCTGGTAAAAAATACTGGCATGAGTTGATTGGTCAATCGAAAATCTGTCTATGGAAATATAAAATCTGATTGAAAATGGGCCTCTAGATTTTTTTTTTTTTTTTTTTTTTTCAAAATCTCCATCTAAGATCCATTCAGATTATTTTCTTTGGGTTGAAAATTCTAGGTTGTTAAAATAAATCCAGGTTAATTGATTCACAGTTAATGGTGGTTAATAACTCTTGACCTGAAAAATCTAGACACATGGTTAAGAAAAATGTACAATTTATTGGTTTATAATAATTAAGAACTCATGATGGTTAATAATCTTTCTCAAGTGTAAATTTTGTTATAGAGAGAAGAAAAGAATTGAAATCTGTAAATATAAATAACTTTATAAAATAACATGCAATGAAAATACGTACTAAATAGAGAGACTAGGTAAAGCCACACAAGGTTTCTCCTTATAGACAATAGCTTCCTTTCGGCATTACTACATAAGATTATTAATATTCTGAGTACAATACAGGATTCATCTAGCAACCAAATACGAACTTGCTAAGGGTTTAAGATCTTAATTAAAGTTGATGAGGTAGTTGAAACTCTAAAAAGAAGTGGATTCGTAATTGTTCTTGATAAGGTAGAGATGTTTTTTGATGTGCGGTGATCATATAAGATGAAAGAATACCAGCAAAACAAATATTTTGGGTTAGATAAAGATTCTTTGGATAATCAAATTAGTGTCAAGAGAAAGAGATTATCAGAGAAGGCTATGATGCAGGGGTGAGGAAAAAGATGAAGAGTAGTACTAAATAAGAGATTTAGGACCTTTATCCTTACGTCTCTTAATTGTTTATATAGTTGTTTTTTTTTAAAAAAAAATTCGGTAAATTACATGAAAGAAGAGATATAATGGTCCATTCCTTTATTTCTAACAACTTGTAATATCAGAGGATAAGCGTTCTTAACATTGACAAATCATTATTGGAAAAACGTGATAGCATTATTGTTCATAGGGGTTAGATAAAAAAATAGTCTTAGGAGCATATCTACATGTATTAATTAGATTTACTATCCATTCTTTTCGATTGATGGGGGTTGGCTTGATTCTTCAAACTGAACCCATCAGTTTTTTCTCCTAAGGTATTCTCTAATAGATAAATGTGTTTGTCCGTCTATATTTTGAGTGTGGTTTCATCCCTTAAAGTTTTGTCTGGATATGTTTTTTAGTGTAGAAAAAGATAATGTATACATGTGTCGTTTATAATAAAGACTTGTGGGTCTTGTAGAATAATACATATCGTGTGAATATATCACAAATCAAATAAATTAAATCTTTATCTTTGTGGATATGTTCACGTGACTCATGTCTTTTGCAAAATGTGTTCCACATCTAACAATTTTCCATCATGTGAAACTCGCGTAGGGATGTAGCCATTTGTGGGATCAATTATATCTTACTTTCTAGCTTTTGTGATATAATCTGAAACAATTGGTTCCGATGGTAAGGAAAAAATTCATTTAGCTTGAGCTTTCAACCTTAAAATGTTGAGATATTTGTGCCCAATTAACTTTATACACAATAATATCTTAAGCGTTTGCATCGAATATTCACTAAATAAACTAAAACAAAACGATAAATTATCGTTCCAAATACTCGTTCATATACTAACATTTCACTATTCATTAATTTTTTACATTTTGGTCCTTGATCTTTGCCAACGAATTTTTCGATTTACATTTTCATTTGCTCATCCATTTTCGTCCCCGAATGAGAGAGAAGGAAGGAGGGAAGAGAGAGACGGGAGGTGAGAGAGAGATCACCGACCAAGCTTATTTAGGTCACTTTGGCCGGTGAAAATCTACTAGATTTTTTTATCTTTGAGAGATGAATTTGTCCATGGTTGTTTCAAGCCACGAAACAATTAGAGGAGGTAGATCGGAGTCAAAAGAGGAAACAATGTTCCAATTTGATTGTGTAATTTGTTTTTGTTTTTGTGTGCATTAAAATGATTTTTAAGGTTTTAGATATGTTTATTGGCTTTATCTCGGTCATTTAGAGGTGTTTGGGGAAAAAAATGATGCTCGGAATTCAATTTCTAGAGATCCGAAACTTGATCCTCGACTTTTCGACGAAGATTCCAAGCAACCCCGATTCGTCGAAAGTTGCGACCCTTTTTTTTTTTTTTTCCTTCCGTTTCGGCTTAGGAAATTGCTTTTTATTTTGGTCCCTTCATTCTTTTCTCTTTTTTTGGTCATTAAACTTTTCGATATTTTATTTTTATCCCTATCGTAAATATTAAAATTTTATTATATGTGATTTTTATCCTTATAATCAATTTTTTTTTAACTTTTAGCAAAAATTTATGTTCTTTTTTTCTATTTTTTTAATATGTTTTTATTTTAGTCATTAAAATTTTCTCATATTTAATTTTTATCCTTACTATACTAAAACTAAATAAAGTCTACTATCCTAAGGTTGTTTTTCTTTTTTTACCGAAATTTTCTTTCTATTCTAATTTCGTTTTGTTATTTTTTCTTTCTTTTCGTCATTAAATTTAGCAGATTCTTTTTTTAGTTTTTGTTTTGTAATTGTTTTTTATTTTGATCATTAATTTTGTTTCCTACAAGGAACTATTTTTTACTTTTAATAAAACTTTTTGTTATATTTTGGTTTTTGTTTTATGATAGTTCATTTATTTTGATCATTAAAATTTTATTATATTTAATTATTATTCATTTTACATTAAAATTAAATACATTTTAACTATGCTAAGTGTTTTTTTTTTAGTGAAAAATTTTCTGTTTTGATTCTTATTTTATTAATTTTTTATTTTAGTCATTAAAATTCTATAATGTTTACTTTTTTTCTTGCCTTATCCATAATGAATTTTTTTTAATCTTATTATTTATAAGTATTTTTTATATTCTTTTAGTGAAATTTATTTATTTATTTTTATCCTTTTTATAATCTTTACTTTGTTTTAATCATTTAATTTTTATCGTGTGTAATTTTATCTCTATTTTCTTTCTCAAATTCTCGATTTGACAAAGCTTTTTTGTCTTTTTGTTTTGAGTGGTCTCTCTCGTCTCGTTAACAAATTACGGATGAATAATATATGGTAAAAATTAATCATCGAAAATTCAAAAAACTACCACATTATTATTTTAATTATCAGCTATTAATAAAATACATGTTTATATCAAATAATATCAAATTAGCAACATTATATTACTCAACTTTGCAGATTTTTCATTTAGCTAACCCCGTAGCAAATTATGAAATATATGTTTTAGTTTTTTTTTTTTTGAATTATTTTTTGCATGATATTGTCAAATAATAATTTGTAAATGCTACATTTTATATTAATGAATGCATAAGAATGTGTTATAATTCACCCTCGCGACAACACGTGGGTTATATGCTAGTAAAATCTATTCAAAATGCATGTAAATGAAAAAAATATATACAATGTTAGCTTGTCGGATATATAATCAACTTATCTAAACATCAATTTTTTTTAATGAAAAGTTATTCTCTAAACAAAGAAAAGTTGTCATACGGAGACTTCGTACTAACTACAACTTAGTGTACTAGAATTATATACATAGATATATTCATGATTTAGGAACTGAATTTATTTAGGAACAATTTAGTGTACTAACAATAAAGCTACGCATATCCTTAAAAAAGAAAAAGAAAAAAAAAGGGCTATGTTAATGGTCATATAATTTGGTGATGTATAATTTGTATTTTTGGTTAAGTAGGGATTTAAATTCATTTGATATCATTTATTTAACCAGGAGTACTAAATAAAGGATTCCAATTATTATTTTTATTATAAATTTAAAAATTTATATGAAAGATAATTTTATTGAAATTACAAATTGAAGTAAAGATTTTGACCGGTTGACCTATATCATTAATCATTATAGGTTCATTGTTTTTAAAGTAAATTACAAATTATTCCCTCTAGTTTTGCCAAATAAATTAAATAGCTTTTTTATTTCAAAAATTAATTAATTAGTTCTTTGACTATTGTTCTCATCACTACAAGAAATTCGCTAAATAGCGATGGAATCAAGTCCATCACTAAATAGAAAGAAAATAACGATTGTTGAATTTAGGGATGGATTAGAGATGAAATGCCGACTATATTTTAGTAACTGACATGAAATCCATCGCTAAATTTATCGGTATAATCTTTTCAAGTATTTTAGAGACGACTTAGGGATGGATTTGTTTGGAAAAATAACGATGAACATGAAATCTATCGCTATTTTCA